AGAAGTATTTCATGATAGGTAAAGTCTTTACAAGCAAAATGAGAAATAGTGATTGACTGCTTAAAAATAATAATAATAATTAGAATAATAATAATAATGATTGGGAAAAACATTGAAAAGATATTGAGGGAACCAGCAGTTAGCGTAATGGCTATGTCGCTGGACTCCCACGTAGCCGACCACGGTTCACGTCCCAGACCCGGTGGTTTAAAACTCACGCCGGGTGCATGTGTGTGTGTGCCCAAGATCCCGAGAGGAGAATGGAGGAGAAGGGATTGCGGCGTGACCATCCCCCCTGGGGGGTGATTTCTCTCTTTCTGTCTCTATGTCTCTCTCTGTCTTGTCTGGCAAGCGTACGCGCCGTATAGCAAAAACCTCTCCAAAAAAAAAAGAAAAGAAAAGAAAAGATATTGAATGATGAAGTGGGGAGATTAATGTCTCTGTATTGACTGACATGCATGGCATTCCCTTTTGAAAAAGCAATGTAATACACTGTAAAGTTGTATGTAATCCAATATAATACAAAGAAGATTATGATGATAATAAAAATAAATTAATTAGTTTTTTAAAAAAAGAAATGGCAGAGTGTGAGAAGTAAGGCATCGAGGGGGAAAAATGCAAAATATATAAGAAACAAAAAAGGAAAAATTATTTGTTGATAACATATATAGTAATATTATTGATTAAGTCAATATACAGTGTATTTTGGATGAGAAATCTCATTTTGTATGCTATGATGATGTACACTGAATAAATGTAAAATAAATCTCTTTTTTTGGAGAAGTTTTTGCTATAGGGCGTGTATGCTCACCAGAGAGACAGAGAGAGACAGAGAGACAGAAATCATCCCCCAGGGGGGATGGCCACATCACAATCCCGTCTCCTCTATTCTCCTCTCGGCATCTTGGGCAGACACGCACATGTGTCCAGAGTGAGTTTAAGCTACCAGGTCTGGACTCGAACCACGGTCGACTGCATGGGAGTCCAGCGACATAGCCATTACACTAACTGCTGGTCCCTAAAACAAATAATTTTTTTAAAAATGCTAAGGGATATCCTTTTGACTGATGGCTCTAAACAGTTATCACCAATTTATTTCAAACTCTTTGACTCTAGTTAAATAGGTTCTCATTATTTTCCCTGCAGTTATTACTTGCTGATTCTGCTATAGAACAAACAAGTTACAAATGAATTGTTGAACATGTTCTAATAAGCATAGAGGAAAACCGCAAAAAGCTCAAGACAATGCCTCATTACAAATGTGATATACAATTCTTCAGAAGCCTAGCAATTTTCCAGGCGTATATGTTTATATGTGCAAGTCAGGGATTGGTTGAATTCTTCCCTCTCCATTTGAAACCATTTATAGCCTAGAGTATCTTAAAGATTTAGTCCAGAGGAAATACTTTTGCTACAAAATACCAATACATGTTTTTGACAGTTCTTAACGATAACCTATTAGATTAATGCAACCGAGGCGTATCTTAGCCATTTTCTGTTACAAAAAAAACCTACAAAACCAAGAAACTTTCTTATTAGAAAGTCAATAAAAAACCCAGACATATGGTTCTTGCTATGAAAAATTAAGGGCAAAGTTAAAAGACAAACTATCCATCTCTATAGTGTGTGAAATCATATGCACATGTAATTCCTTATAATATCAAACTTTACTGAGTATTTTATGTTACATGTGCTACATGCAAAACTTGCCATAATCATCACAACAATCATAAGAAGTCTAATATTTCCATTCCAGCTGCAAAAACTGAAGTTCAGGTTAGAGAGCTAGTAACTAGAAAGTGTGGGATAATAATATCAAAGAAAAATCTATTAATAGTAATGAATATGACACAGCAAATTTCTGAGATATCTCTCTATTCTGAAAACTGAAGATTTGTTAAGATAGTCAAATTGAAAGCATTATAAGGCTATACTTTTGTTTCTCAAAGTATGTTACACGGAACAAATTATTGATTATATATGGTCAATGGTTTTCTTCAACTTCCAGAGACTTTTCAGAAGTACCTTTAAAATTAATGCAGTGCATTCAATTATTAATCTGAAAAAAAGCACTATTAAATAGAATATAAAATGCCCCAAAAGTCTGTAAACATGGGAACAATGTGTAAAAATTACAATTTATTGTAAATAAATTCATCCTATACTTCTAGACTTTTCAAACCTTTGTAGATCTATTCCCCTCTTAGGAATTCACAAAGCACATCTCATTAAAAAAATTCTCAAACGCATTCAGAAAAAAAAAAATTATTTAACATAGACAAAACCTTTTATCTTATGTAGAATCTATTAACAATCCACAGAATTAGTTAGTAGTCTACAAAACATACTTTGAATAACCAGCTGTAAACTTCTTCCAATTACTCACTTGGCCTTGTATGAGAACAGGGAGCCTATGCTTCCAAAAGGCTTATGTAACTGTCTAGTGCTACAATATACACCCTCTTCCAACAAAATTACTATTTACATGGAAAATAATAAATACATAAAACAAAGATCAAAGATCTTCATCAGCATACCCTGAGCTTCTGGGAAAGTTACTAAAATTTAATACATGTGCATGCTCCAGAAATATAAGCAACTTCAGTGTTCTATATGACTTTGATTATTGTAAGACACTGAGCATGTAATAATAGTAATCTCTCATACTTAGATAACCTTCGGTTAACAAAAATCATATGAACATGGGTACATATTTCTTTTTAACATGTCAAGAAATTCTCAAGTCCTGATAGTGACTTTGGAAAACTCTCCAAAGCCTAAAATGCATTTACAATCCCAGGTACTTGGGAGGCCGAAGCAAGGGGATATGAGGACAGTGAGACCCTGTCTAAAACTACTCCCTCCCCCCATTCACACACACATATATGTACATATATACACACACAACCAAAAACCAATGTCTGGGCCTTCTTCAGGAGCGTGCATATATTTTTCTTTTATTTTTATACTATATGGCATGTGTGCTTGCCAGAGACAGAAAGAGAAAGAAATCACCTCCCGCGGGGGATGATGCAATTCCTTCTCCTCCATTCTCTCTTGGGATTTTGGGCTTGCATGCAAATAGGCCCAGTGTGTTTTTCGAGTCGGATTCGGGACTCCGACTATACAGTTGACCATCTGGGATCCAGCACACTAACCACCATGTCACCTCTGGCCCAGGGCTTATACATTTTCTACCACTTGCTCTCTGAAGTATAAAAATGTACAAAGCATAGTAAGAGGAAATTCAACATCAAACAAAATTTAAACAAATAGAAATAGGCAAACATCTTGAGTGTTTTACATTCAATTAGCTAACAAAATATTTAGTCAATTATTAAATTCTTAAAGGCCATATAGTATATTTTACTGAATGGCCTTCAGCCACTGGCCAAATACAAAATGAAGATATTAGGTTTTGTAAAATGTATCCACTTATAGATACTGATTGGAATGAACACAATGATTTCTGTGAAACAAATAATGATGATTAGAATCAATTAGAAAAACATAAAATCAGGACAGTTAAGCTATGATCTCCTTATAGTCATAAATAAAAAAACTATTATTTGTTCAAACACTCCTGAAATTTCTCAACTTCCCTCCTTCACCATCACAGTTGGAGAAATCATTTTATGTTTTTTTTTTTTCTCCTTTGAGTTGTTACTCATTGTGTCCTTGAAAAACTAGCTTCATGTCACCACAGCTGTTAACTTTTTAACCCCAGAGGACAAAGACTGTTTTTTGCTGTGGGACCTGTACAGTTACAGAAGAGACATCTTTCCATCATGCCTTGAAATGATGAGAAGAACTAAAGTCACTACTTCAAATGCAAACTCATCTTCTCCAAGGGATATTAACCAAAAATGTTCAGAACTCTGATCCTAAGCTAAAGAGTTAAATTTACTGAATAAAACAATGAAGAAAACTTAAAACCCAGAGCGACTATCTATATTTATTATGTTCATGACTTTTTTATATTATTATAAAAGCAGATAAAAATTTACTATTGCAGAACACAACAGACCTATAATGGAAGACAGACTACAAGTACTAAACTTATAAATTTCAGATAAACATCGAAAAACATACAAATGAGAAAGCACACATCTTTTACTGATTAACACCATAAGTCAGATAAGTGTTAATTAAATCTTTTATACAACGATCTTATTATACACCAAAATAACACTATTATATTAACACATTATTGCTAGAAGAATAAAATTTCAAAACTTACACCACTAAGTGGCAGAGGCCATAGAGTCAACACAGGTAGAGCCTAAAGAGCTGTCTCTCATGTCTAAGCAGGACTTGGGTGAGAAGAGCTGCAAGCAAGGCTACAGCTGCGAGCTCAGGCTTTCAACTGTGTTTGTTGTGCTGGTTTGTGCTGTTTTTGCTTTCAATCTCTCTGCTATGGTATCCTGTAAGGGTAAAATAACACCCCCAGCCTTACTGTAAGTTTTATAGTAAAACCAACTAATAATCCTGAAAGAATGTTGACCTCTAAGGTGGCGGCAAATGGGAATTATTTTGTGAGACTCACCCCACCTGCCTGGAAAATATCAATAAAGAATGCTGCATTCACTTCTCCTGCTAGGGACTACATAGATAGCATTAGAAAGGTTTGGGTTAATGGAAAACTACTAAATTGATGAAACGGCCTCGGTAGCTGGGAGGGGCTCAGGGGCTAATCCACAGGATATTGATGCCCCAGACAAAGGCCATGAGTCACCTTTGATCTCAGGACAAGGAAAAATTGCTGCTCCCCTGAGCCATAGCCATTGTATAGAACAGCACACAGAGGGTCACACGTACACAATAACCTTTAGGTCAGTCATTAAACTGCTTACAAGACCACATTCCTTTCCCATGTGGGCAATAGGCTCACCCCCTTAGCTGTAGATTACCTCAAGCTCTCCCCCTTAGTTGTAGATTACCCCAGAGATAATACAGATGTTCTACTTTAGTATACATTAATCATGTCTTTACTTAACCAGATAAGATTTCTCTCTAGGCCTCCGGCCTAGAGCTGAAATTATCAAGTGGGCCTGGGACTGAAGTTAGCAAGCTTGCTGAAAAAACTCTCATCCAGAAGGCCATTCCCAGTAATCAAGATCAAAGAAGAAAATATACCAGACGGATGGACTCCCTCACCCTGAGGACTGTGATTGACTTCACCTGATCAAACAGAACAGTGCATCATGTTTTATGATTATTGTTCCTATGCTTTGAATACCTTACTTTTTAGAGTAAAATCTTTTACTTCCCCCTCACCCCTCCTACTCCTATAAACATCCCTCAATAAAAATGTATGTTTCCTAGTCACAGACGCTGCAGTCGAGCTTGCTCTGACTGTAGTCGGCTGAGAACATGCTAAAGAGCATAGAGGTCTCTGCCTGATATCTTATCACCTGCATCGCCTTCCCTCAAGTCTCAACCCACCCTGGCTGGAGCAGGTCTCCCGCAACTAAGCTTATCTCACTATTTATTACCAAACTTCTGAAAATTAGAATATCAAAAATTCACTTTAGATAATAAAAATCTTCTAAGTTTCCTGGTACCATTCAGTGCTGTGACTGAAACTTGAGTTCTTAAGTGGAAAGTATAAAATCTGTACATTGTTTCATTAAGAAAAATTAAAAAAAAATAACACATAATAGTTCTTTTTAAATTAAAATTATATTCAGTTATCCTTACATAATAAATGGTCATTTTATGTAATTTAATTAATTTTAGGCATATGACTATAAGAGAATCTCAATAGTAAAAAATTAACTTTTTCAGCTTCAACTTTTTCCTCAAACACTGACCATTCTCTTACTATACTAAATCAAAACCTAGTAAGAAAAGGGAAATTTTCTTGATGGATAAAGCAAAGCTTTTTACAAGTCCCAAAATAATCAAATAATTTTCACATTACATGGACAATGACTGACAAACAAGCTAACAGTCAGACATTACCTAATATGTGTGTGTGAGTGAGCCATATAGACACTATTTCCGTGCCCCTCCATTCTTCTACCACACTCTTAAGTCTTTCAGGACTAGTCTTGAGCAGGAGTTTTACTTGAGTTAAATCTTACCTGGAGCAGCCGCCAATCAGATCCTACTAAGATAACAGCTCCAGCCACCTGACCTTAAGGATACTAGGAAGGCTACTGGCCTTTGATCTTGTAACCCCTGGAATATCCACACTTTCCTCCCAAGTCATTGTTTTTTTTTTTCGGGGGGGGCAGTGTTTGGAGTGTGTGCTCACCAGAAAGACAGACAGAGACAGAAAGCAAGAAATCACCCTCCATGGGGGGTGGCCACACCCACAAGTGCCAGCGTGAGTTTAAGCCACCAGGTCCAGGACTTGAACCGCAGTCGACTACATAGGAGTCCAGCGACATAGGCATTACACCATCTGCTGGTCTCTCTCCCAAGTCTGACTGTTCACTGAGCTCCCTACAAGTTGGAGCTTTCTGCAGAGGGTATGGGGCATAGCAGTGCAGTGTGGTGCAGCAGGGTGCATCGTGTGCAGTATGGTGCAGTACAGCAGGGTGTCAGGGAAGTGAAGCCTGCAGCTGCCCACTTATAATAATCTACCTCTTCTAATCCACAACTCCCATTTGTAAGTTACCCTCTGAGATTAATCTTTTATCAAATCTTCTATACAGGGACCAGCAGGTGGCGTGGTGGTTAAGGTGCTGGACACTCCCACATGGCCAACCATGGTTCAAGTCCTGAATCTGGTGGCTTGCTTTCTCACTTCTGCTCTCTCTCTTTCTCTGCCTCTCTCTGGTCAAATTAAAATAAATTAATAAATAAATAAAATAAAATAAATAATTAAAATATCTTCTATAGAATTGTCTGCTTCATTTTTTGGGTTCAGAACTCAGTCAAACAAGTATAAGGACTAAAAAATGAACTGATGTTTTTAAGTGAATGGAGGATGGTAGGGAGAAGAGAAATAATCTATGCACCAAAAATTATGCCACTACTATACTTAAGTCAACTCCTTTATATACACACATTAGATGCAAGTATATGTGATTATGATGCTATCATCTTTTAGACTTAATCCCTTGGAAAAAGTTCACCTTTCAATTAATTCCCATCAAAGCAGATGATAATGGCAAACAGTTATCACAATTTAATCTATTCCCATGGGTTCCAGGCAAACAAATAAAAAGTCAATTAGGAGGACTAGGAAAGGGCCAGCCCCATGCAGAGGAAGCTAGATCCCATACGGACAACTGGGGTTCAATTCCCAGCCCACTGGCTTAAAAAACATGCCAGGGGTGTACACATGCCCAAGAACCTAAGAAGAGAGAAAACTGAAGGAAAAGAGATTGCAGCATTACCAAGCTCTGTGCGTGTGAGAGGGAGATTTTCTCTCTCTTTCTTTTTCTGGTTTTCTCTCATGCACATACTCTCTGACATTAGAAAAGAAATATTCCATTTTATAGAATGAGGTGTCCTATTCTAAAATAGCAAATGAAAGCCATTAAGATGTTTAAATTAAATTTGTTGTAATTTTGTCCTCTGACAGCTTCTGGTTATTGACAAATGGACCCTAAGGGCACTGTTAATAATTCCCAAGACCACTTGAGCAATACAGGAAAGGTGGGGTTGACCCTTTTTGAGATTGTCTGTCTTTCTCAGGGAGACCAAAGAGTTATAAGATCCTCTCAGGTCTGACTCTGGTCTTTTTGTATTGAGCCCTCTGATCTCTTACTCTTTAGAGTCCAGGGTTAATTTGTGCTGTGAAACAGCATATGATCTTTAGGGGTTTCCAGTGGCTGACAATGAATCTCCGGGAAAAGCAGAAGTCACCACAAAGACAGGATTGTGTCCTGTAGGGAGGCCTCAGGTATTCAACCAGTCAGACAGAAACTGGTCATAAAAGGCAATTACTTGGGGCCAAGTTTAAGGCAGCTAGATCCCATACGGCTGACTACACAATTAAGATCCCAGACCCAGCAGCTTAAAAACACACTAGGCACGTATGCATGCATGCTCAATATCCCAAGAAGAGGTAGAGACTCCGATGTCCCTCACAGGGCAAAGGATTACAGTACAGATGCCTGCATCACAGTCCCCAGCTGTGAAAGCATCAATTCCTGCAACATTAGCAGTTCAGAAAGTTCTGATTACGCCATCATCAATAGGGTCCAAAAACTCTCTTATTACCACTAATATGCTGTCATCACAAAATAATACCAATGAATAATTGACTGTATTGAAAAAAAAAGTGAAGATGATGACAATGATAATTCGTAAGCTAGTCTTTTTTTTTAGAATTATTTTATTTAACTTTACTTATTTATTTTAATTTGACTAGAGAAGGGCAGAGCAATAGAGAGAGAGAGAGAGAGAGAAAGAGAGAGAGAGAGAGAGAGAGAGAGAGAGAGAGGGGGGGGGAAAGAAGAGAGAAAGAAAAAGGGGTGGGGGGAAAGTGAGAAAGCAAGCCGCCAGGTCCAGAACTCAAACCATTGTAGGTCACATGGGAGTCCACTGACCTTAACCACCAGATCACCCGCCCCTGTAATCTAGTCTTGATCTACGTGATGTGCATATTTGGCCTTGAATTTATTGTACTGAAATTAAAAATGCATGCTTGATGTTTTCAAATTGTGTTTTAAACGAGTTAAATAGTACTTAATGAGTAAATATGGTTAACCATTCTTTTTATTTTATTTTGAGAGGTTTTTGCTGTAGGGCATGTACACTGGCCAAAAAGAGACAGAGAGACAGAAAGCGAAAAATCACCCCCCAGGGGAGATGGCCATGCTGCAATCCTTTTTCCTCCATTCTCCTCTCGGGATCTTGGGCAAGCATGCACACGTAACCGGTGTGAGTTTAAGCCACCGGGTCCAGGATTTGAACCGCGGTCAACTACATGGGAGTTCAGCAACATAGTCATTATGCTAACTGCTGGTCCCAACGGTTAACCATTCTTTTCGACTGAAATGTTTTTCTTTCATAGGATTAACTAATGGTTTTTCATCAGCCTTCAAATGTAAAAAATACAGTTGTTCATTAATTAAAAAAGAAAAAAACACTATCTGAGATTCCTTATTAAAAGCAAAACAAACTTTTTTTTTTTTTTAAGATATTTTTCCTAAAGAGCATGTGCGTTCATCCAAGAGACAGAGAGAAAGCAAGAATCATCCCTTGGGGGTGTGGCCGTGCCACAATCTTTTCTCCTGCATTCTTCTCTTGGGATCTTGGGCACAAACACACACATGCCCAGTGTGAGTTTTTAGTTGCTGGGTCTGGGACTCAAACTGCAGTCAACCACATGGTAATTCAACAACATAACCATTATGCCATCTGCTGATCCCAGCACCAAAGCAAACTTCAAAAGGGCCTAGGTGGTCAATCACTATTCTCACTGCACTTATGTAAATAATAGGGCCAAGTTTGATGAGACTAAAATTAATTTGTAAATAAATTAGTCTAACTCTGATTATCTTTGTAGAAATCAGGCTGACTGTATAGAGAAAAATGTTTCTGAAGAATAACTATGAATTTACCATTATTAAACTGTAGCCCAGCTCACCGATTTGATTATCTACCTGTAGACTGGAATGCATCCTGAATTCTCCTAGTTTTCTCCAATATCTAGCTACAACTCTCCAACTAAGAAAAGTAACTACTCTCTTCCTGAAGCCCTATAAGCTGTCACTAAACAACTCAATGCAAATTTCCTTTATTATTATTGTTTGGTTGCAAGAGAACATATGCACTAGTCAAAGTGAGAAAGAGGAAGAATCCCTCTATGAACATAGTCATGCCATGATCCATTTTTCTCCATTTTTCCATCCCACTGGAATTTTCGACATACACACACAACACACACACACACACACGCCATCATGCCTTCATGCTTTCCAAGCCGCCCGGGCTGGGACTCAAACCAGGGTCAGCCACATGGGATCAGACTTTCTATATACAGTGCTTAACCACTGTGCTATGGCACCAGGCTTCAATTAAAATTTCAAGGGACAAATTTCATGCCTGCTGTGTGAGCCATACAGACAATTCCATAGAACATCTGATGCCATAACCAGAGACATTCAAAATGTAAACCAGGATGAGCAGTTCATAACTTCATACTGAGAACAGTCTTTCCTTAGATGATGGAACAAGATGCCCTATCAAAATGACACTCACACCCTTTTTAATTTTTTTGTGCTTCTTTCAC